TGGGGGCCGGGTCCTGGATGGGGAGGTCGGGCATAAAAGGATTACGGCTGCCCCCTGCTGGAGGAGACTGCCCCCACGTGCCGAGGCCGTGCCCGAGGCCGGCGGGAGCAGGAGAGGGAGGGGAGGAGGGTGCCAGCAGCCAGAGCCGGCCAGGCCCCCACCCTTTCTGTCCTGTTCATGCTGACGCTGTCTGGCCCGCCTGGCTTGTGCCACTCTGACCACCTGTCACCTGCCCAGAGGAGCCAGATCTGACCAGCGTGGGCAGGAGCCGGTTTTCCACACTGATCTAGCATTTGGACCTCATTTCCTCTCTCCCTCTGCTACTTCAGCAGCCTCCCAGAGACATCCCAGTGCAGGCCTCTTAGCAAGTCCCAGGCGGCCCACAGTCTAGACTCCTGTCCTGGCTTTACCTCCCAGGTAGGGTGGGCCTCCAAGATCTGAAACTCTTGGCACCTGTTTCTTCTCGGTGAAGTTAATTTGGCCAACAACCAACATGTACTGAGTTCTGGCCACACAGATTGCTCCCTCTGACCACACAGTTGTACCTTCTGGCTTGCTTGGAAAACGATTCCCAGCCACCTGGTCCTTGAGCCTTTCCAGATCTCTAGTACACTGACCTCTTTATTTTTTCTCCTCCCTGACAACCTTCCTTACCTCCACCTTCCTCTCAACAGCATAGTCTGAAATGTGCCTGCGCTCTGGTTGGACTGGCCTCAGTACTCCATCTGCCTGCTGCCCCCAGGCCACCATATGCTGTAGAAGGTACAAGTTGGTGTCTGCTGCCTTTGTGGATTTGATAGATAACTAATGCCATTTAGTCCACTGTGTAGTCAGACAGACTTCCCATGTTCTCCTCCCAGTCCTCTTTCTTTTCATCTTCACTCTATTTCAGACTTTCCCCTCCAGTGGTCTTAGAGAATGACTTTTTTTTTTTTTTTTTTTTTTTTAACAGAGATCACTGAAGCCAGAAATCCTCAATTCCCACAGTCCCTGACCTCCTGACGCTCCCCTTCCCACCATTTACACTGATGTTTCCCTTCCTTCTCTTCCAGGACAGTGGAAGAGATGCTCTTCCTTCAGTCAAGGGCATCTCCTATAAAATACCCTTTTGTTCTTGTGTATTTTCAAACATTCTCTCCTGGTTCCTTCAGATCTCTGCCAACTTGAGCTCTATATCCCATGCCCCTCTCCAGCTACTACCCTCTCTCTATCCAGCTTCCAGCTCCCCTGTCCCCCCAAAGCCAAACTTCCTTAAGTGCCACCATCATTTTTTCTCACCATTTTCTTATTCTTTACCTCACTCTGTTTGACTTTTTCCCAACTATAATGGGGTTGAAATGACTTTCACCAAGGTCACGATGCCAAGTCATTGTTTACTAAAAGCTGTAGACATTTTAGTATTTTTCTTTCTTGACTTCTTGACTTTTACCCTGTTGACACTTGGTCCCCTCTGAAGCTGTCTCTTGACTTCTATGGCATTAAACTTTTGAAGTTCCCTTTGCCTCTCTGAATGCTTCCTTGACAATATCTCTGTCTGTCCTTATTCAAGACTGTTCCTCAGAGTCATTCAGTCCCTGCTGCCTCCTTTAGCATAAAAGAGTAGGTTTTATTCAAGTGAGAAGAAAAGAGATGGAGCTTCCACAAGATGAGAAGGGATCCAAAAGGGTTTGCCCCCTCAGTTTCTCCTTGCAGTATACTCTCTTCCCAGGTGGTCTCACTCCCTCTTGTGGCTTCAATTATCAACAACTCTTGGGGTTTTTGTTTGTTTGTTTTTGCAGTATTGGGGATTGAACCTAGAGCCTCATACATGATACAGTGCTCTACTACTGAGCTACAACCCCAGCCCAGCTCTTGAATCTTTTGTGTCTAGTGCTGATCTCTTCTCTGAGCTTCAGGCTCATATTACCACTGTCTCAAGTGGATGTCATAAAATCAGTTTGTCTTTTGACATACAGCTCATTGTTTTCCTTTAAAATGCATTTGCTTTTTTAAGGTTTACCTCTAGCATTTTCAGGGCCGTGGGCAGGAGCACAAATGGAAGCCTACATATCACATTTGGAGTAGTTGAAAGCACTCAAGCTAAATTATGTTATGGTTTCTTACTCAGACACATAAACTTTTCTAACAACCCAGAAGGTCATATTTGAATTTAGAATTCTTGTGCTTTCTGGAGTGCTGAGTGCTGGGCCAGGATGTGGTAGCTTAGGGAAAGCTGACTCCCTGACCCCAACTCTCATTCTGCACTTTTCTCTTCCCTTCTGGGTTTGGCCCTACAGGACAAAGGGCCTGGCACATATGCTTTTGAACACCCAAAGTCCCTGTGTCCAAGCTCTGCTCATACCTCCCAAGCTGCATTTCCTTCTCTGTTACTCTTGAATGGGGTTGAATCAGAATCCTGAACCAAGCACCAGAGAGAAGAAGGGTTGACCCAGAAAGAGGAATTGAAGATTGAGTTCATGAAAGCGAATCAAGAAAAAGATTCATGACCCCGTGAAAAAGGTTCATCACAGGAATGGGTTTGGGAACCAGGCAGGGTAAGGAAGTGGCTAGAGGAAGATGCCCTGAGGCAATTATAAAGATCTATCTTGGCTGGATCTAGGGATGGCAAGTTCTGCATTCTCAGCAAGTGACATCATACATTATCAAGTCATCTTAGCTGGGAAAGCAACAAATATTGGATGCTCTCTTTATCCTCCCTCAAATCCAAGCAGTTAGGTTTTCTGTTTTCTTAATAACTTGAATGGATTTCTCTTCATCTTGAAGTTCATGCTATCATCTCCCACCTAAGTGATTGCAACAGCCTGAGTATAACCTGTCTCCTTACCTTGGTCTTGTTTCCCTAGAATCCATTTCTCCATAGCAACTGGAATGATCTTTCTGAATACAAATGTGATTACTCCATTAGAAAGCACAAGTTTCTGCTTATTGACTTTAGGAGAAAGTCCAAGCTCTTTAGCATGTCATTCACAGTACTTGGTGATCTGACCCCTGCTCACCTCTCTAACTACATTGTTCAGCTCTTCCTGGTTCCTAACACATAAAAAATACCATGCACATACTCCCCAAAATGAACAGCCATATGAATTCACATAAACAGTACACATTCACACTATCAGAGATGAGGCATATATGAACTTGAACACCCACACCACATACATTCCCACACTGTAATATAGTAGCTCACAAATATACACGCTTATAACCTTGTGCGTACATGCATTCACAACATACTCTGAAAGCTCACACACCACATTCTGTCACGTACTCCTGCATATTTTCCACACACATTCATACACAATCACAGATTCCCACCCTGTACACCTCAGTCACTCATACACCCAAACCACAAAACTTAAGTACCACATACTCTCAGACCATGCATGCTTACACGGTCGGACCTTTAACCATACTCATCTAGCTCTTATTCCTGCAACCTCTAGCACCAGGCCTTTTTTTCAAGCTGGTCTTTCTTCTGGAAAGCTTCTTTCTGCTTTCACCAGCTATCTGGGTTGCTTTCCTGCAGAAAGCCTTTCCTGAACCCTAAGCTTGGAAGATCTGAAGGATTCCCTTTAGAATCAAACCTAAGGCTTACTTGTTTAGTCTGGAAGTAAAAAACTAGAGTTTAGCTTCTTAAACTGAGGTTTCTTAAATGTACTTCTCCCAAGCGTATTATTTTTGTCACCCTGTCTGTTGTCTCATAGTCCTTAATGGTACAAAATTTAAAACAGGAGGGGGCCTGTGTAGGGTGGTCACTATAGAAATGAAATTCCAGCTGGATGGCAAGGAACCCAGTGGGTAGGAGGAAGGGGAGTAAGACTGCAGGGAAGTGACCGCAGACCTGCAGGGCTTTTGTGTCTTGATGCACTTGCCCAGCTTTTCAGAAGTGTGTCTAGTTTGGAGTGAGTCAAGTTCTAGGGATTTGTTTAGCCTGCAGGATCCTCCGAGGGGATCTTTACTTCCAGTGGAGTGTTGAAGCTGTGCAGTGGGTAGGCTGGCAGCGTCTGAAGTACAGGGATTGACGTGAATCAGGGCGGGGGTTGAATGACCCAGCTCAGGAACTCAGGAAGAGGGCCTCAGAGGAGGATTATTAGTCTCAAATGTCATGCAGAGGTGGAGAAGGATGTGGCACCTAGGAGGCCACCCACAGCCTTTCTAGAACAGCAGCATTTGGAGTCTGTTGCCAAATTGTGCAGGCTTAAATAGGCAGAGAACAGAAATCAAAGTCCTCTCAGGGAAGGAGGAAGAGTTCATGTCTGCTGATGAACAGAGGAGAGTGCCAGGTAGGGAGGGCAAGGTACAGTCCCAGGACAGAGCAAAGGTCACTGCAGGGGTGAGTGGGCTCTGAGTACAAGTGGAAATTCTACATTGGACAGGAAGGAACACAGCTTCCTCCAGGACAGGAAGGATATTGTAGGGAGGGAAGTGAATGTAACAGTGTTTTATCATCTGCTTCCACCTTGGTAACCTCTACCAACACAGGCTGTTAGCCACAGACTCCTATGGCCACCCCCCACCACCACCACCAAATTCTCCCTCTGGTATCTTCAGTGCTGAGCATTTTTTGCTCATAGCTTTCCATTCTTTTAGCTCCCTCCTCCATGTCACCACACTCAGTTCTGTGGCCTCTATTGCCTCCTGGCCTCTGAATACCCGCCACCCCCACCACAGTCTCCACATAGGCCTAGCCCATGGATCATCACTTCAGTTGCTTTTCTGTGAACACCTGCAACTTCTTCGCTTGTTCTTCTGTCTCACCCTACTCTGTACATTTCCAGCCCCATGCTAATAATTACCAACCTCAGGCTTCAGTCCTGTTTTCTCTCCAAAGCTTCTAGATGTGGGTTGTTAGGTGCTTCCTAGCCATTTCTAACTGAAGAGTAATGGGGTGCTAATGATGAGGTTGGGGTAGGCTGAGGGCTAGAGTTGGGTGTCAAGGGTGGGAAGGCCGAAGGTTCATTACATAATGGACCCAGCAGGCTAGCACAGTTGGATTCCAGAGCTGGGAAATTCATGTCTTGCAGTGCTGCTTGGAAGTTTGGTTGAGGGGAGGAATGCCTACTCTTAAGTGAGTAGAATCGGGACCTAGTTTTGCCTTTTCATTCCTATGGTCCTGTGTGCTCACGCTCCCTTCCTTCACTTAGTAGGGCCAATGTCCCCAAGTTTGTTACTATCTGTGCCTTCTCTCCATAGTTTCCTGAGACCCCAAGCACACTGGGTCTCTCCTCACTCAGCAGCCTCACCATTTCCTTCCCACTGTCCTTGGACCCAGGCCTCTTATAGTTACCCTGGCGTTGGGAGGGACTTGCTGCCATCTCTCCAAGCCCACTGGTGAGCCCACTGATGTTAAGGCTGCCTGCCTGAGTCTTGATTGCAGACTTGAGCTCCTGATTCTCCCGAATGAGCCGCACCAGCTTCTTCAGTTCCTCATTCTCCCGCACCAGCCTCTCTATCTGATGCCGAAGCCCCTCATAATTGGTGAGTAGAGACATGCCCCAGGGCAGCAGGGAGGGTGCTGCCCACAGGAGGGCACTGCACCTGGAGGCTGCCCAGGGCCCCGGGCCTTGCCCGGGCTGGAAGAGGGTGCCAGAGTCTGCAAGGCTGGCCCAGCGGGCCCTGGGTATTGTGAGGTCAGAGGTTGTACTCTCCTCCTGTCCTCTACTCTAACAGGCTCAGCTTTCCATGCTGCCAGGCCTGTGAATGGCTCTACCTTGACCTGGAATGTCCTGACTCCTTCTTTTTGGTAGCTTCACTCTCAGGATGCCTCCTCTGCAAAGCCTTCTTTCCCCCACTGCAAGCTAATTGCTGCCTGCTGGGCTTCCCCAGCAGATGTGTCCTGTATCATAGTACCTGCCCTGCTTCTGTGCTGTTAGCTCCTTAATGCTGTATTTACTGGCTTTATGGTGTGAACAGGGATTGTGCCACTCCTCTGGAGTCCCCAGCATCCAGCAAAGGGCCCAGCTTAGTGTACGTAGATAACCAATGAATGTAAAATGAAAACTCATCACTTGCCTTCCTGGGCAGATGACCTTTCTTTATGATCTTGGGCATGCCTGGATTTAGCCCATCAGCTTCTACCTGAGAATGCTCTGCCTTGGATGCCTGGACATTGGCCCATAGTTTCTTCTGTCCCCAGGTGCTCAGAACCCTACTCTGGATGCTGGCCTAGGGGCTCCCTCATCCAAGTACCTGGCTCCCTGCAGCTTGGTGTTTCCATTTCTGGACTCTTATCCCAAATCCCTGGAGGTAATTCCTCCACATCTGACTCTCTACTTCCCAGCTCCTTGAATTTTCCTGACTTTAGTTGTTTAAGAACCCAAGATCCCTAAATGCAGTGCACATGCCTGTAATCCCAGAGGCTCAGGAGGCTGAGGCAGGAGGATCATGAGTTTAAAGCCAGCTTCAGCAATTTAGTGAGGCCTTAAGCAACTCAGTGAGACTCTGTCTCTAAATAAAATACAAAAAAGGGCTGGGATGTGGCTCAGTGGTTAAGAGCCCCTCAGTTCAATTGGTGCTACCCAACCCCCCAAAAAACAAAACAAAACCAAACAGTATTACTTACCTGGTTTCAAGAACTCAGGACTCTGAGCCCTCCTTATAGCTATCCCTTCTCTTAGGACTATCTACAGAGAGCTCCACAAATCTGACCTTGGGAGTTGAGGGAGGGTGTGTCTTCATGGTCTCCACTGGCTCTATGGGTGTCTTTTGACAAACCTCTTCATGGGACAGGAAGAGGTACAGGCACAGGCCAGTGAGCAGACTCCTGGAACGCCGTGGAAGTGAAGAAGCCGGAGATGAAGCAGTGCTGCCATCAGTGTGAGTTGAGCATTCTACCTGAACCTCACAATGGGGGGGCCTACCCCATACTCTGACACTCCTGAGTGTAATTCCAGCTGAGTCTCTCTGACCCCAGGCATTCTTTTCCTTCTTTCTAACTTGATAGAGTATCTCTGGTCATGAAAATTGGCTTCTCCGTAGGCTGATACAGTTTATAATGGTTTCATGAGTGTCAGTTTGGGTAGGCTGTGTGCTCAGGTGTTTAGTCAAATGCTAGTTTAGACATGTTATAAACGTGTTTTGCAGATGTAATTAACATCTACAAAATGTTAGCTTTAAGTAAAGGTTACTTTCAATTGTATGAGTGGACCTCATCCAATCAGTTGAAGGACTTAAAAGCAAAAGTTTTAAGCCCAGAAATAAAGAGTTCTATCTTGGGCTGGGGTTGTAGCTCAATGGTGGAGCAATTGCCTCATGTGTGTGAGGTACTGGGTTCAATCCTCAGCACCACATTAAAAAAAACTCAATAAAAACAAAGATATTGTGTCTATCTACAACTAAAAAAAAGAGTTCTATCTTGAGACGTTTCCAGTCTGCCCTACAGATTTTGGACTTTCCAACCTCCACTATTGTATGTCAATTAAAATAAATATCCTAAAATAAAAGGATTCTGATTGATACACCATCTTTTCTTTTTTTGTAGCAGTGTTTTTTCCCTCCAAAAACATGTATATCATCAGTTGTGTTAGGAATTGGGATCAGTGCCAGTCATCACAGGCCTTGTTCTTGTCTGATCAAACTTACAGAACATAAACTGAACAATCACAATGAACACATGTGGGTGTAGAGTCACCTTTGTGATGAATGCTGCTAAAGGTGGCACTGGTGCTCGGAGGGGGAACAGTGGGTGGGTTGGATGCGGTTGTATGAGGTCAGCCTTCCCTGAGGAGGTGACCGTTGAGATGCTGTGAGGGAGAATATCAGTGTGGGAAGAGCTTTCCAGCAGAGGGAAGAGCCTGTGCGAGGCCTAAGGGGTGCTCTGCCAAAGGAGAGAGGACATACGTGCCAGAGAAGGATGGAGTGCAGCTCACCACAGGACTGATGCTGATCTGCATCCTGAGTGCCTTGAGAAATCCTGGAAGGGTTTTAAGGAAGCGGGTGTGGGGAGGGACTGGAGGGAAAGAGCTGCGGAGTGGTATGCTACTGCAGTCCTCCAGGCACGTGATGAGAGCAGTCTAAATGCAATTGGTGCCACAATGGAGATGAGAGAATGGCAAGGCAGAGGGACAGTGGTACTAGATGGAATGGAATTGGGGATGGTGAGGGCGAAGGCAGGGATAGCCTTATAGCTACTGGCAAGGGCAGTGGAGACACTGGTTATACCAACCCAACAGCGGGGAAGACCAAGTTCAGAGCAGAGATCCCGAGTCAAGTTTGATCATGGAGAACAGAGAAGGAGCTGGGGGTCTGTGCACCAGGTTCTCAGAGTAGAACCTGCTGTGTGGCCGGAAAGATACATTTTGAAGTTATCAACTTCTAGATGCAGCTGAAGATTTGCAAGGGGATGAGGTCACCATGAATCAGTAATGAAGCAGAGAGAACAGGTCTTAGGCCCAAGTGCCTGCAAAGCCCATAGGGTGGAAAAGCCCATGAAGTGGGCAGAGGACCTGAAGAGCTGGCTGAGGAAGCCACCCACAGGGGCTATTTCAGGGTTATGAAGCAGCAATACTATCTAAAGCTCTGGGAGGCCAGATGAGAGGAGACTGAAAAGTGCATCTGCCCTGGTGACTTGGAAGTCATCAGTGCTGTCTGGGCAGAGTGATTTGGCCAACTCCAGATCAACAAGTCTGGCAAGCTAGTGGGAAGGTAAGGTAGAGATGGGGGCCCACACAACCCTTCCCAGGGGTTTGGTTGTGCTAAAGGGAATGTGGAGAGGACTGCTGCAGATTCTTCCTTTAGCATACCTTTTCTTTCTAGCAGCCTGGTGTCAGGGAAGACTGTGGGGGCTTCTACCTGGCTTCCATGCCTCTACCTTCCCCAGCCTCTTCTGAGTCACAATGTATAATGGAGGTCCTCCAAAAACTCCCAGACTCCCCCCAAAATGTTCAGTTACAACCTCCTGTCGTGTCTCACATTTATCTGCTCTCTATTCTTTTGTTTTAATATTATTTTTTAGTTGTAGTTGGACACAATATCTTTAATTAATTATTATTTTTTAAAATATTTATTTTTTTAGTTATAGGTGGATACAATATCTTTATTTTATTCTTATGTGAGGCTGAGGATTGAACCCAGTGCCTCAGGCATGCAAGGCGAGCGGTCTCCCTCTGAGCCACAATCCCAGCCTTTATTTATTTATTTTTATGTGCTGAGGATTGAATCCAGGGCCTCTCCCATGCTAGGCTAGTGCTCTACTGCTCAGCCACAACTCCAGCCCCTCTCTCTAATCTTATTTGCTCTTGATTCCAGTTTTCTTATCATTAACTTTATTATGGTATATCCTTTTGTATCCAAATCTATGGGTCTGATTTGTGATAGGGAACAGCAAAAGTTTAAAGAGTGAGGGAGTCATCCCAAAGTTTATCCACATCCATTTGGATAATACATTTTAGGGTGAGAGTCTGGGGAGTGGGAGGTACTGGACTTCCCTGTTCTGTCTTCAGTCTAGCTCCTGTAGGTGTTTGGACAGAGTCACTTGGGAACGAACCGGGGTTCTTTTGGGGGAGGCAGGGGCAGGGAGGTTCTGGGGATTAAACTCAGGGGTGCTTTGCCACTATAGAGCTACATAGAGCTGCATCCAAGTCCTTTTTATTTTTATTTTGAAACAGGGTTTGGCTAGGTTGCTGAGGGTCTTGCTAAGTTTCTGAGGCTGGCCTTGAAGTTGTGATCCTTGTGCCTCAGTCTCCCAAGTTGCTGAGATTACAGGAATGTGCTACTGCACCTAGCTGGGCCAGGACCTCCCTTGAGTACAGGGAGGTTGAATTTGTAGGAGTGATAGGAACCTCCAAGGATCCACTCAGGGTTTACATTCCTCACAGTTTCCTTAGTAACTTTCTACTAACAAACCTCAGTATTGTCCCACTTGCTTATACTGAGTCAGGTCTACTTATTCTGGTCTTGGGTCATTGGTTTTTGCAGTTTGTCCCCATTCAAATTTGCTTTATTTAAAAAAAAAAAATTTAATTAATCTCAGCCTTCCAAGTTGGCAAGGCCTTCAGAGGATCTTTGCTTCATCTTGGCTGCTGACAAGGAGAGGGATTTATCCAGTCTGGACTCCCACTGGCCCTTGACTGCCAGTGTTGTCCTGGACATCTGGGCTACTCCTTTCTACCCCCTCACTTATACTTCAGATAGTGAAAAAGCAGTGGCTGACATTTACTGAGTGCTTTGTTATATGCAAAGGCACTGTTTTCACCATCCTAACAACCCATGAGGCAGAGTGCCTCATGCAACAGGTAAGGACAGAAGGACAAAACCAGGTTTTCCCAACTGTCAAGGTCAGTACTTGATGCAGGCAGCATCTTCTTGATTCTAGTTGTCCTCTTTTGCTGCACAGCTCCAATAGAGAATATAATTTTTTGTTTTGTTTTGTTTTTTGGTATCAGGGATTGAACCCAAGGGTGCTTAATCACTGAGCAATATCCCCAGTCCTTTTTTATAGTTTATTTAGAGACAGGGTCTTAATAGATTGCTTACAGCCTCACTAAATTGCTGAGGATGGCTTTGAACCCACAATCCTCCTGCCTCAGCCTCCTGAACTGCTGGGATTACAGGTGTGCACCACCACAACTGGTGAGAACATAATTTTGACATAATCTATTG